CGCAAGCAAACCCCAAACCAAAACAAAAAGCCTCAGAAAGAGCACAACAGATCAGAATGGTTTTGACATTATGAGTTCCCATTTGAAAATTCCAAGTTTATCTTATCTTACAAATCATATATGGGCATTTGCACACCTAACAATACTAATAATGTGCATCGCACTATGGCACCCTTAAAAGGTTTTTGTGGCATTATGGTCAAGAGCATCATAATTAATAGACTACCCAATTCAGCCAATGTTACTGCTAAAAAGAATTACTGCTGCTTTAAGTTTGCAGACTACACAAGTCATGTGCAAGATTATATTCACTACTATACAGGTACTCCTCACTTAACTTTGTCCTGGTAACATTGTTTTGTTATTACATCGCTGATCTATTAGAGAATAAACTCATTTAAAGTTGCACAATGTTCAGTTATAACATTGTTTAGCTACCACCTGCTAGTAGGTAACTACTGTGATGTAACTGGATTTGCTTAACATTGTTTTGCTTCAAGTCACATTTTTCAAGAACATAATTACAATGTTAAGCAGGGAGTAGCTGTATTTGAACGATGCTGTATGTACTTCTCTCTGGTGAAGAACTGCATATGGCATATTTGGTTGTCAAAAAAAAAAAATACATCCTTAACAACTTCATTCTTTCTACAGGATCATGAACTGAGAACGTTAGGGTCATCTTTCCCCACCACCCTTCTGCTAAACATGCACAGTAACTTTGAGACCTAACTTAAAAAAAAAATTAAGGTAGGGATGTCTAAAAGATAACAGCCAGTGGACCAGAACCCCATCACCCAGCCCCCGGCACTATTCCCAGCTCCAGAGTTGACCCAGACACTGCATAGCACCCACCTCAGCTGGCCTGTGACCCATGCCAGCCACCCCACACTGGTCTACAATACTCCACACAGCACCTGCCCCACCTGATGCAGGAAGTGTTGTATGGAGTACCTGCTCTGGCTAGTCCAGGATCAGGATCTACAACTGCATGTGGTGCCCCATCTGTCACTGCCCCAGGACAGGTATCGTACAGTGTGAATTTTGGACTGGCTGCCACATGGAATGCACATTTGCACCGGGGGGGGGTGCCAAGAAGGCGGGGTGACCTTCATGGGCCCAATCCACCCCACAGGGCTGACTACGCACCATTCATTGGGCCCTATGGGCTAGATGAGTTTGACACTCCTGGATTAAGGTATCTAATAAACTATTGAACTGAAAAAATATCAACAGCCATACTCATCTAGGTTTATGGAAACAATTAAAAAAAATTCTTTTCTTCCTGATTCTCCTCTGTATAGGCCTTTTACCTGAAGTGCAAGCTGGCAAAAACGAAGGGGCATTTGACTCTTTGGATCCTTTAGAATCTGTATGGTTTTTTGTAGTTTCTTGCACAACCGTATTTTCAGGTTCTGTCTTATTTTCTTTAGCTTCTAGTTTTAATAATGAATTAGATGAAACAGAAACATGTACCTAGCCAGAAGAACATAATTGTTAGTTGGCAAAGTAGTGTGAGGAGCAAGACCATCACTGACACCTTGTCACAATCTGACACTATTAACTTTACACTTACATTATTAGGAACCATGTTATTTGCATGGCCATGAAGATCCAGCTTGATTTCTGGGGGAAGCACCATATTCACAGATTGCTGACTTTGATGTATAACAGGAGCACCTAGCAGGTAAACAAAACCAAAACCAAACCCATCAATTGCATCAAATATTAACATACTTTCTATGGAATTGCTGTTATTCCAATTAACAAGACAACAAGGTAGGGTAGCATATAAAGAGATCTTTGTGTAAATAAGAATCAGATTCTTGTTATAGTATCAGAACACCAAAGTAAAGCTGTAAAACCAAACCAAAGGAAATCCACCCCCCCACACACCAAACACTTCCTTCTCCCTCAGTCATGCAGATTCCATTCAACTAGATAAACTCATTTTAGAAT